CCACATCGGGCTCCCTGCTCAGCGGGAAGCCTGCTTCTCCCTCTCCCACTCCCCCTGCTTGTGCTCCCTCTCTTTCTGTCAAATAAATAAATAAATAAAATCTTTGGGGAAAAAAAAAAAACCTAACAAAAGAATGAAAATAATTAACATTCATTCTCCCTTCAAAAAATCCATTAAAAAATCCCTGTTAAATGTCTTAAGACAACTCTTCCTCCTGGACTGTATTCAATGAATACCTGACCTCCTAATATGATAGCTACACAAATTTTATGCCATAATCTTGACATTCTGATAAGAGAGTTTTTTTCTTTTCTAAGACTTACAGGGCAAAACTATAAAGAACACTTACATAAAAATATTCTTATTTCTTGTCTTAGTACCTTTGATACCACTTCTTTACAAGTAAAGCTATTTAAAATAAATAGCTAATAAAAAGCTATTTAAAAAGTCTTAAGGTGTGTTAAAGGGGATGAGTGAAGAGAGCCTCAGAAGGTTTTTTAAAAACTGCTTATGCTTGAAAATAACGCACCTGTCGATCCACCTCTGGAAGGAGTAAAAGCAGTCGCTGTTGGCAATCTCCAGGAAGGACTGAAAAGGTGTGCTTGTTGATCAGTGCTCGTAGATTTGTATTAACCAGAATGGAGTCTGGTGTCTCAACATCAATTTCAGCACACTTAGTCCTTTTCATTTGCCCTACAAAAATAGGGGAAAAGAATCATTTGGGCCTCCTTTACATTCTTGTAAAAAGCACAGTTGTAACTACTTTAAATATCACACTGTGAAGAGGGAACACTTAAAGGTTTTAGAAATTTCTTCTAAGACTAATAAAAGCAAGGCATGACACATACACAAAATGATCCAAAAAATCCAGAAAGATTCCAATCTATATATGTATCATACTGAGATCCTTTTTCCTTTGCCATCAGAATTTTTTCATCAATTTTAATTTTGATTACCTAAAATGTTTTAACTGAATACCTTAGTGGTTTCAAGAAACTTAGTCACAATCAAAAGGTTATAGTCTTTCAAATGACTGACAGACTTGAGTACACAAAGTCTTCAAATGTAAATGACAAAAAATATTATAACAAGACTAACTTGCCAAAAACATTTGCAAATCATGACAAAACTTTACGATTTTTCATATTAAAAGTGCATCTAAGGGGCGCCTGGGTGGCTTAGTGGGTTAAGCGTATGCCTTCAGCTCAGGTCATGATCTCAAGGTCCTGAGATAGAGCCCTGCATGGGCTCCCTGCTCAGCAGGGAGTCCGCTTCTCCTTCTCCCTCTGTGCCTCCGTCCCCCCACCACCGCTTGTGCACGCTCTCTCAAATAAATAAATAAAACCTTTTTAAATAAATAAATAAATGTGCCTGGCTGACTCAGTTGGTAGAACATGTGACTCTTGATCTCAGGGTCATGAGTTCAAGCCCCACACTGAGCACAGAGCTTACTTTAATAAATAGATCGGTAGATATTTAAAAAAAATTTTAAATGCATCTATAAATCAATATGAAAAAGAAGTATCACCATGAGAAAAACGAGCACAGGGAATTACAGGTAATTCATATTTGACTAACCATAAACAGATGCTACAGTATTAGTATTTTTTAAAAGCCAGTTAAACCAATGAACATTTTTTTGTCTATCAAAATGGCAAATACTGCAATACAGTGATGAGACTACACAGAGAAAAAGCAAAGACAACTGTCAAATACTGCTGATGGGTCTCAAATTAATATAATCTTACTGGAAGAAAATTTGATGATATACTGCAAAATTTAATGTGCATAGGAATCTAAGACCCAGTAATTTTACATTTAGAAATACACGCACAAGGCTACACAATCTTGAATATGAATAACCTCTGTTCCTGGCTGAAGGTGAAGCAAAAGTAATCTCTCTTAAGAGGAAAGGATTTCCCTTAAATTAGGCCCATAGGATTCCTACAAATTAAAATCCAGCACTATCTCACACAGACTACCCTGACAAACCAGCAGACATGCTACTATGACAGAGTCAACAGAAATCAAAAATAAAAGGTTTAGACCTAAAAGTACTATCACTGAAACGGTCACAGATAAAATACAGAACAGCGCTGCATAAAATGATTAAAGAAATAAAGAATGTGATTGTAAAGATGGGGATAAAATAATCAGGAATGAACACAATCACGTCTCAGTAAATTTCATATAATGATCAATAATAGCAGCAGCAAACATTTCTATAAGGCTTCATCAGTGCCAGGCACTATTCTAAACATTGACATGTGTTAATTCACTTATTTTTCAAATAACCCTATGAAGTAAGACACTATTATTGTACATTTCACAGATGAAGAAAATGAGGCCCAGACCTGGTAAGAAACTGGCCCAAAATTGTACTATTAAGTTACAGTGCAGGAATTCGAACCCAGTGCTGTGGCTTCAGAATCTGTTGTTTATCACTATACAGAGGCAGAGCTATCATAAAGTGCATGATCTCTGACTATTAGGTATTTAAGTTAAAAGTCCAAAACAGAAACGTAAAATATATATATTTTTTCTAAAGACCTTATTTTTAAGTAATCTCTACACCCACTGTGGGGCTTGAAGCCACAACCATGAGATCAAGAATCACATGTTCTACACACTAAACCAGCCAGGTGCCCCCAAAATCCCAATATGTATCTTTAAATTTTTTATTTAAATTCAATTTAATTAACCTATACGGTATCCCTAGTTTTAGAGGTAGAATTTAGTAATTCATCAGTTGCATACAACACCCAATGCTCATTCAATCAAGTGCCCTCCTTAATGCCCATCACCCAATTACCTCCCCTCCAGCAACCCTCAGTTTGTTTCCTAGAGTTAAGAGTCTCTTAAGGTTTGCCTCCCTCTCTGTTTTCGTCTTATTTTACCTTCCCTTCCCCTATGTTCATCTGTTTTGTTTCTTAAATTCCACGTATGAGTGAAATCTTATGGTATTTGTCTTTCTCTGACTGACTTATTTCACTTAGCATAATACCCTCTAGTTCTATCCACGTCGTTGCAAATGGCAAGATTTTGGGTTTTTTTGATGGCGAAGTAATATTCCATTGTATATACACACCACTTCTTTATCCCTTCATCTGTCGATGGACATCTGTACTCTTAACATAGTTTGGCTATTTTGGACACTGCTGCTATAAACACTGGGGTGCATGTGCCCTCTTGAATCACTATGTTTGTATCTTTTGGGTAAATACCTAGCAGTGCAGTTGCTGGGTCATAGGGTAGCTTTACTTAAACTTTTTGAGGAACCTCCATACTGTTTTCCAGAATGGCTGCACCAGTTTGCTTTCCCACCAACAGTATAAGAGGGTTCTCCTTTCTCCCCATCCTTGCCAACATCTGTTGTTTCCTGAGTTGTTAATTTTAGTCATTCTGACTGGTGTGAGGTGGTATCTCATTGTGCTTTTGATTTGTATTTCCCTGACGCCGAGTGATGTTGAGCATTTTTTTTCATGTGTCTGTTGGCCATCTGTAGGTCTTCTGCCCACTTCTTGACTGGATTTTTTTGGTTTTTTAGGGTGTTGAGTTTGGTAAGTTCTTTATAGAATTTTGGATACTAGACCTTTATCTGATAAGACATTTGCAAATATCTTTTCCCATTCCATAGGTTGCTTTTAGTTTTGTCGATGGTTTCCTTTACCATGAAAAAGCCTTTTATCTTGATCAAGTCCCAAGAGTTCATTTTTGCTTTTGTTTCTCTTGCCTTTGGAGATGTGTCTAGCAAAGAAGCTGCTGCAGCCAAGGTTAAAGAGGTTGCTGCCTGTGATCTCTAGGATTTTGATGGATTCGGATTCCTGTCTCACATTCAGGTCTTTCAACCATTTTGAGTTTACTTTTGTGTATGGTGTAAGAAAGTGGTCCAGTTTCATTCATATAGCTGTCAAATTTTCCCAAAAATCCCTATATATTTTAAGAAAATTTTTAAAACTTCAAAATAACTCCTGGGACAAAGGAGAAATCACAATAAAATATTTTATTTTATTTATATATTTGACAGAGAGACAGCAAGAGAGGGAACACAGCAGGAGGAGGGGCAGAGGGAGAGGGAGAAGCAGGCTCCCTGCTGATCAAGAAGCCCGATGTGGGGCTCAATCCCAGGACCCTGGGACCATGACCTGAGCTGAAGGCAGACCCTTAACGACTGAGCCACCCAGGCGCCCCCAAATTGAATGATATTAAAAAAGCATTTGAAAGATGAAGGTAAATGTCCCCCAAACTGAAATAGTACCAAAATATATAAAATGAAAAGTAAAGGTTTCAACATTCAAACCCTGGCTTCCTACCAAAGATGACATTTTTGGGGCGCCTGGGCGACTCAGTCGTTAAGCATCTGCCTTCGGCTCAGGTCATGATCCCAGGGTCCTGGGATTGAGCCACGCATCGGGCTCCCCGCTCCGCAGGAAGCCTGCTTCTCCCTCTCCCACTCCCCCTGCTTGTGTTCCCTCTCTCACTGTATCTCTCTGTCAAATGAATAAATAAAATCTTTAAAAAAAAAATAACATTTTTAATTTGAATAAACGAAATAACAATATACATGCCAATTGTATTTTTTCTTTTGTTTCACTATCTTGAACTACTTTCCAAACTATCACCTACAAAGCTACCTCTTTCTTTTTAAAAAGTTGTACCATATTCCAACATATGTACCATGATTCGTTTAATTAGACACCCACCTGTAAGTGGTTACCATTTTTTGGTTTGCATAAACAATGCTGCAATGGCTCCAGGGACTGAGAGCAGCATCATAGTTCTGCTCTCCCATATGACTGATGAAACAATAGTGTCAGCATTCCCTGAATAGTTTTCACTATTTGTGCATTCATTCTGTACCATTACATTGGAGTCAAACTTTAGTTAAAATTAAAAAAAAATAAGTTTTTTTTTTAAGTAAGCTCTACGCCCAATGTGGTGCTTAAACTCATGACCCGGAGATCAAGAGTTGCATGCTCCACCAACTGAGCCAGCCAGGTGGCCCTTTAAAGTTTTAACTTAACTCCTTAAGAGAGACTGAGAAGTAGTTGTAAATTATTCTGATGTATTATTGATCAAATAGTGCCCAAGGATATTTTTATGTGCCTCACACAAACTGGTTCATTTCTAGAATTTAAAGTTTAAGTCCTCTTTGGGGCGCCTGGGTGGCTCAGATGGTTAAGCCTCTGCCTTCGGCTCAGGTCATGATCCCAGGGTCCTGGGATCGAGTCCCGCATCGGGCTCCCTGCTCGGCGGGGAGCCTGCTTCTCCCTCTGCTTCTCTCTCTCTCTCTCTACCTCTGTCTCTCATGAATAAATAAATAAAATCTTAAAAAAGAAAAAAAAAAGTTTAAGTCCTCTAATTTTCGTAAAGTTTACTTTGTTTTTCCCCACGTTAAGTTGCTGTATTCTACCATATTATACTTAAAATCTGAGCTATGTTTTTTTTTTTAATTGAATCTGGGATGTAAAAATATATGATACACTCTATTTTACTCAAGTTAAAACAAATTATACCAGGGTGCCTGGGTGGCTCAGTTGGTTAAGCGACTGCCTTCGGCTCAGGTCATGATCCTGGAGTCCCGGGATCGAGTCCCGCATTGGGCTTCCTGCTCAGCAGGGAGTCTGCTTCTCCCTCTGACCCTCTTCCCTCTCGTGCTCTCTATCTCTCATTCTCTCTCTCTCTCTCAAATAAATAAATAAAATCTTTAAAAAAAAAAAAACAAATTATACCAATGTAAACTAAAAAAGATTTCAGATGAATTATCTAATTTAGTTTTACATTTGTTTTACACAAAATGTACAGCTTCTTCCATACATTTAAAATATACTCATTGTGGGCGCCTGGGTGGCTCAGTTGGTTAAGCGACTGCCTTCCACTCAGGTGATGATCCTGGAGTCCCGGGATCGAGTCCCACATCGGGCTCCCTGCTCAGCAGGGAGTCTGCCTCTCCCTCTGACCCTCTTCCCTCTCATGCTCTCTATCTCTCATTCTCTCTCTCAAATAAATAAATAAAATCTTTAAAAAATAATAATAATAATAATAAAATATACTCATTGTTAGGGCACCTGGATGGCTCAGTTAAGTGTCCAACTCATGATTTTGGCTTAGGTCATGATCTCAAGGGTGGTGGGATCAAGCCCTGACTTGGGCTCTGAGCTCAGTGGAGAGTCTGCTTGAGATTCTCTCCCTCTTCCTCTGCCCCTCCTCCTCGCACGGGCGTGTGCTCCCTCCCTCCCTCTCTGAGATAAATATTTTTAAAAATATATAAATAAATAAAATTTAAAAAAAATAAATAAGAATTCTTGAAGTCTGGGGGTGCCTGGCTGGCTCAGTCAGTGGAGCATGCAACTCTAAATCTTGGGGTTGTGAGTTCAAGCCCATGTTGGGTATAAAGATTGCTTAAAAATAAAAAAAAAGGAAAGGAAAAAGAATTCTTGAAATCCAACACTTGCTTTTCTGGGATTGATTTAAGTTTTCATTATAGTGCTTTTTGGAAAATTATGCTACATGATGGAGATGTAGAAGCATTTCCAGTCCTGCAGGAGCTGTGGCTCAGGTGTCCTGGCACCTTCAGAGTGCAGAACCTATCTAACTTGTTCCTGCTACCCAAGAAGACGCTTAAGTGAGTTTAAGGCAGGAGGGGAAATAATTTAAAGATTACCAGGCATAATATAAGCAATGAAATGTAAAAACCTAATCTACAAGTTGCTGGGGGTGCCAGCTTCTTTGCCTTATTGTCCTCTTTGTGCATTTTTCTTAGAGGCAATATCTGCCATAAACTGAGCATACCCTTTGATCATGAATTCCACTGCCAAAGATTAAAAATATTCATAAATCACATAAATACTTATAGAAGGTATGCCAAACCCAGAGCTCGATCTCATGACACTGAGATCATGACCTGAGCTGAAATCAAGAGTCAGATGCTTAACTTGACTGAGCCACCAGGCGGCTATCTTACTTATTTTTTAATAAATAATTTTGTTAAATTAAAAAACAAAAAAATAAAGCAGTCTGAAAATATTAATTCTGTTCTCACACTTAATAGTTTGGAAGTGTCTGGAACATATAAATGGGTATAGAATAACTAATCCTTGGGGCACCTGGGTGGCTCAGTTGTTAAGCGTCTGCCTTCGGCTCAGGTCATGATCCCAGCGTCCTGGGATCAAGCCCCGCATCGGGCTCCCTGCTCCACAGGAAGCCTGCTTCTCCCTCTCCCACTCCCCCTGCTTGTGCTCCCTCTCTTGCTGTGTCTCTCTCTGCCAAATAAATAAATAAAATCTTTAAAAAAATAAAAAATTAAAAAAAATTTTTTAAAAAGAATAATCCTTTGAATTTTGTCAGCATTGCTGCACATCTTTTAACTTCTATTCTGCTGCTGAGATGTTTACCATCCCAATTCTTACTTTTTTTTTTTTAAGATTTTTATTTATTTGACAGAGAGAGAGAGAGCACAAGCAGAAAGCGTGGTGAGCAGAGGGGGAAGCAAGCTCCTCACTGAGCAAGGAGCCCGATGTGGGACTCGATCCCAGGACCCTGGGATTATGACCTGAGCCGAAGGCAGACGCTTAACAGATTGAGCCACCTAGGTGTCTCCAATTCTTACATCTTTGTATGTGAAGTATTTTCTTTCTCCTTGGTTCTTTTTTGGAACCTTCTCACTATCCTGGATGTTTTGAAATTTCAAAAGAATGTGTCTTGGAATTGGTTTCTTTTTATTCATGTTCCTTGACACCAACTATGAACTCTCATCTTTGGAACTGTGACTTTAAATTCTCTGGAATTTTCTTCTATTATTTCTCTTATTATCTTAAGCCCCCTTTCAATTTCTGTTCTTTCTGATGGTTCTACTATTTTATTTTTTTTTAAAGATTTTATTTATTTGTCAGAGAGATAGAGACAGAGACAGAGAGAGTACAAGCAGGGGGAGGGGCAGGCAGAGGGAGAAGCAGGCTCCCCGCTGAGCAAGGAGACCAGTGCAGGACTCCATCCCAGGACCCTGGGATCATGACCTGAGCTGAAGGCAGATGCTTAACGACTGAGCCACCCAGGCACCCCATCTATTATTATTTTTTATTTCGGCTACCTTATTAGTTAATACCGTGGAACTCTTTATTTTTTGATTTTTAAAATAGCAGTCTGTTCTTTCATAGATGCAATGTCATCTTTTATACCTTTCTGTGGATATTACCATTTTTAAAGTTATTTGTTTTAAATCTTCCTGAATTGTCTGTTTCTTCTGAATCTGTATTTCAGATTCTGTGCCTCATGATGGAGGTCTTCTTCAAAGGTAATCATGAATAATCACAATGAAAACGCATTAAGAAGGCTGTCTCGAAATTTTGGGTGCGTAGGTGAGTCTTATAGACTGGTGAGCGTCACAGAAGTATGACCAAGATGATTTCTATTTAGTTGGGAATCTGTAAATTAGCCTGCAGATCTTCTTCTGAGGCTATTCAATTTCTCTCTCTTTTTTTTTTAAGATTTTATTTATTTATTTGACAGAGAGAGACACAGCGAGAGAGGGAACACAAGCAGGGGGAGTGGGAGAGGGAGAAGCAGGCTTCCTGCCAAGCACGGAGCCCGATGCGGGGCTCATCCCCAGGACCCGGGGACCATGTCCTGAGGCGAAGGCAGATGCTTAACGACTGAGCCACCTAGGCGCCCCAAGGCTATTCAATTTCTTTAGGCACCAACCCACCCATCTCCTGCTGGAACATAGGTGGGGCTGGGAGGAAGGAAGTTGTGGTGACAGAAATATGCCTTACTACTAACATTCTGGAAGCCAAGAAGAAGGATCACTATTAGTATTTATATTTTTCTTAATTTTCCTGATTTCAGTACACTGCCTCATTATCTGCCATCAGCCATAAGTGGTATCTCTGAGTTTGAAGTCCGTACATAATTTCAAAAATAAACCACCTATTTCCTGCTAGAGTGAGGCATCAAACTGCTTATTAACTTCCAAAAAAGGTTCTTCTTTTCAACCCTAGGCTTCACCCTTTCCCACTATGATACATGATGTCTGCTATTTTTTTTTTAAAGATTTTATTTATTTATTTGACAGAGAGAGAGAGACAAAGTGAGTACAAGCAGGGGGAGTGGCAGGCAGAGGGAGAGGGAGAAGCAGGCTCCCCACAGAGAAGGGGGAGCCCGATGTGGGACTTGATCCCAGGACCCTGGGATCATGACCTGAGCCTAAGGCAGTTGCTTAACCAACTGAGCCACCCACGCGCCCAATGTCTGCTATTCTTGATTCTTTCTGGTGTTCTGCAGCCTTAGCTGGCTTGTTCATTATTGGCATCTGTTGCTCAGCATCTAGTTTTCATCAAAATTTCTTGACACTGCTTGCCGATCTGTTGTCTCCTTGTTTTCTTCACCCTTATGGATCTAATCTTTTGGATTTCCATATTCCCATCTTAGTGGGATTTCAGAGGGAGCAGGGGAAAAAAAGGGTCAGTTTGGCATGTTTAATTACGAGTCCTTCTACTTTTCCATACACAGAAATAAGACATAAATAATGCTGGACAAAACAACCTGTTGTCAGAAAAAGAACGAAACCACAAAACAGCTGATGAATTTCAAACACAGAGTTGACAAATTAAGATGCAGAACTGAAGTCTTTGTAAATTAACTTACTTGTGTGGAGCCTGTCAGACCTCTGGAATGACTTCTTCCCCAAGCCCAGCAAGGGATTTTCCACTTGAACTGAACAAGAATAACTAGAGTTTGAGTTTTGAGGGCTGCCCGACTGCCCGTCAGATGGCTTTCCTTCCCATATTGCTAAGAGAAAAAATATAGCAAAGACTGGTGACACTGAGGTTATAGACAGAAATCAATCAAACAAATCATTCAACACAAACTAAAAGGAGTTATACGTATGATGCAATGTGACCCTGCAAATGCGTTTTGAGTCTGCAAATTCAGAGTTAAAAAATAAAATAAAATCACTTCCTTCTCCCCAGCACATTATTTGCTTCTGGTGGTAAATTTCCTTCCTAACAAAAATGCAAAGTTCTGCAAGATACCATTTAAATTTGGCAGGCCCATATAATCAGCTAGTATCAAAATGAATTGTGTAATAAAATACAAAGCCTGTATCTAATCTGGGTTAGATGAAAAACAAAACAAAACAAACAACAACATCAAAAATCCAAAGGCTGTGTTTATATCCAATGGAAACTCAAATGCAGCCTATGTTCTTAGGAAAACTTTTTATCTTTAAAGGAGAGAACTGGTGAAGAGTTTAGTCTGAGTGTCTTGGCAACATCAGCTTTGTAAGGTCAATGATTAGAGGCGTCCAAATTATTACTAGGTTAGACATCTTGGAAGTCAGTCATTGATTCCATTCTAACATGCACATCTCGCCGATTTATTTTTTCGTAACTACATGATGGATGATACTGCATAAATTTTCCCATTTCTCCTGAAAAGATTTATACTGATGATCTGGCAGTAATAGACTACGTAAATAAACCCAGTAATTTAAAAATAAATGATAAGGTATACAAATTAGAAAAACAGCATAAAAATTCTGGAAAAAGAAATTTCCATTCAAAAGACCCCAAGTCTGCCTACCAGGTTTGGCAGGTACAGAGTCACTGGCTGCTTTGACAGTCTTCAGAGAGAGAGGCTGGCTGGAGGAGATGGACATGCTCGGCCTGCACTGCTGTTGCTGCTTCTTCTGCTGTTGCTGTTTTAGAGCCTATAAAAAGAAAACTGACTATAAGCAACAAAATAACATCATTTTTTAGTAATTAATAACAGGAAGTGAATGCTTTTTAAGTGGTGAGAAGCATGATGACCATCCCATTTCTTTGAAAGCTATCAAAGTAAACAAAAGCCTTAATGAAACCAATTAAATACAAGCCCAAAATGATACTTAAGAGTTTGCATATTTTTGGGCAGTATTACTCTTGTGTATAAATATGAGAATCAGTCACAAACATTTTTAGAACTTAAAAATCACCAGTAAGGCATGGACTTCCCATTCTTGTAGCAGCAGAAACTTAGAGGTTTCCAATCATTTCTGGAAATAAAATTCTAAGCCCTTGACCAAAGAAGAGTCCCATCTGCATTAGTTCTATGTAGAAATATAAATATTTAGCTTACATCTATTTCAGAGATGATACATTTGAACAATTGGTGTTAAATAACCATTTGATTCTCATCTTCTGTAAGAGCAGTAAGATTTGGCCCAATGACCAAATCCTCAGCAATTTACAGCAACACAGTAAATAGAAGGGAAGGAAAGTTATAAAACACTGGTTCTAAGAACAGTATAATTTCTTCTGGCTATTTCAGTATATTTTAATTTCTATAACGCTTCTAGTTTATAGAATACACTACACTAAACTATTTAGAATGAAAAAGATGACAACTTCTCAGAGTTTAGTCATGAAAATATATGAAGGGAACTTTTTTTTTTTTAAGATTTTATTATTTATTTGACAGAGAGAGAGAGAGGCAGGCAGAGGGAGAGGGAGAAGCAGGCTCCCCACTGAGCAGGGAGCCCAGTGTGGGGCTCAATCCCAGGACGCTGGGATCACGACCTGAGCCGAAGGCAGCCGCTTAACCGACTGAACCACAGAGGCGCCCCTGAAGGCAACTTTTTAATTCAAGGTTTAAAAAAAAAAAAAAGACACAGAAACTAAGAAAGTAAAGCTACATTTCAGGAAAAGGCTGGACATCTATGACCTTGCTAAACTGCCAATTTAAGCTTTAACCATCAAGACTATCATGCAAAAAAGTGTGGAATAACTGGCTACTTGGTTCCCATTGCGTCTTCACCCTCATCTCTGGCAATGTTATTTAGGCATGGTGCAACAACTGATCTTGATCTAAGCTGCCAAAGGAAAAAATGAACTGAGTCAGGGATCTGGCTTACATTCACCTACAACATTTTTAACAGCCAAGGCAGGAGCACAATGTATAAAAAAATTGTCAGTGTTGTCTGATCACTGATTACAGCTTCTCTCTCATTCTCCGCAATCAGAACAGAAAATCCTGGGTGGCAGCCACTGGGTCTTTCCTTGTCACTCACAATATCCAGATTATTCTAGGTTAGTGCAAAATTTAATAGAACCATTTGCTCTCATCTATTTCTGCTGTGATGGTGTAAATTCAGACACATGATAGAAACAGAGTAACTTATAGCCTATTTAAGAACTGTATTCAGTTTTTTCCTCCCTCAGTAGTTTACAAACTCTATTCCTAATTCTATTTTAAAATTAAAAAAACAACCACCTTTATCGTTATACAGGATACCTTATATTGAAGTAATTTTTCTCACCTAATACTATAAAAAACTTACACTGGAGGCAAGGTCTTACTTTACATACCAACAACCTAATTTACATACTTTTCCATACTGGTATTCTTTAAAGAAAATACATTTGACTCTTGGGATTATAGGAGTATAATACAGGCAGGAGTAGTAAACATGTCATGCATTATCTAACAAGGTTTAGGAAAATACATGCCTTTTTCCTGTGGAAGGAGGCATCTTATACTTCTTAAAATCTTTCAAAAAATTTATAAAAATACAACTGCTATGAGATTATCCAGGCAGACAGCAATAAATCCTATCAAATTTCTGAAACTCTTTTAATAAAAGCGCTTTTGCTTTAAATACTTCTTTTAATATTTTAAGGCCTACATAATTTTTAAAAATTTCTACTACGTAATACATGATTATATCTTTACCATTTAATCCAAACATAAAGTTAAACTCTCTTGACCACCACTCAGTCTTGTCCCCTAATCTTCAGAGATAACTACAGTCAATTTATTTTTCCTTATTGAGTTTTGTTGTTTTTTTTTTTACACTAATGTGTGTTTCTAATAAAAATATAATATTGTGGGGCGCCTGGGTGGCTCAGTCGTTAAGCGTCTGCCTTCAGCTCAGGTCATGATCCCGGGTCCTGGGATCGAGCCCCACATTGGGTTCCCTGCTCCGCAGGAAGCCTGCTTCTCCCTCTCCCACTCCCCCTGCTTGTGTTCCCTCTCTTGCTGTGTCTCTCTCTGTCAAATAAATAAATAAAATCTTTAAATATATATGTGTATATATATAATATTGTTTTGTAGGTATGTGTTTATTTTTATCAATGGTATTACACTCTATATGTTGTAATACAACTAATTTTAGTGATTCAACATTACAGTGTGATAATGCTTCCAGGTCTATATACATAAAACAAACACATTACAAACTTTTGATCTTGCATATAGAAATGGCATCATTTACAAAGGAATTCCCTAACTGATATATATTTGGTTACTTGCAAGTTTTTGCTGTTACAAACTTGAATGCAAAGATTTTTCTGTGTGTGTGTGTGTGTGTGTGTGTGTGTAACTGGTATGGATATTTGTATTTTTCTAACCTAAGTTCCAAAATGTTGAAATGCTTAGTCATGGGGTATGTGCCTTCACAATTTTAATAATCACAAGATTTCTTTCCAAAGTACAATAATTTATATTCCACCAGCAAACTACCAGTAGCCATTTTTCTACACACTTGCCAATGCCTGATAATTAAGTTCTTCAGTTTATACCAATCTGAGGAAAAAAGTAGTCTGTAATGTTCAGTTATTAGTGAATCTGTATTTATTGACCATTTGCATTTCAAAAAAAAGTTCTTTGAAAAGCCCAATAACACAGACCAATGGCAAGTAGCACTGGGGAAAAAAAGATATATTATAAGTGAACAACACTGAGGAACGAAAAAGAAACAAAGGAATGCTACTACAATTTTATGCAAATATTTTAAAAGTCAGATGAAATGGGCCATTTTCTAAGAGAAATAAATATCCAAAATTAAGAAAAAGATTTTTTACAAAATTAGTTCAAAAAGCAGGAATCAAATCAGATCAGTAACAAATGAAACTGAAGTGCTAAGAAAACAATTCTATAATTGTTTTCCAAAAATCTAGAAAAATGCAGAGAGCTACCCAGCTTATTTTATAATGCTAGAACCATCCTGATTCCAAAATTGTACAAGAATTGTACAAGAAAACAGCAAAATCCAAGCAGAAATCTTAAAAAAGAAAAATCCGTAACATATTAAAAAATATGGAACAAACATGTAGAGTTTACTCCTGAAAGCTAAGTATATGTTAACATTAGAAAATCTAGTCATGGAAGTCTGTATATTAGCAAATTTAAAGAGAAAAGCTACCTGATCATCTCCATAAATGCTGAATAAAACAAAGCCAAAAAGTTCAACACCTATTCATAATTTACCCACAAACATGCACACAAACAAAAACCTCTTAGCAAATTAGGAACAAATAAAGAGCTTTTAAAATGTGATAAAAAGGGGCGCCTGGGTGGCTCAGTCGTTAAGCATCTGCCTTCAGCTCGGGTCATGATCCCAGGGTCCTGGCATCGAGCACCGCATCAGGCTCCCTGCTCTATGGGAAGCCTGCTTCACCCTCTACCACTCCCCCTGCTTGCGTTCCCTCTCTCACTGTCTCTCTCTCTGTCAAATAAATAAATAAAATCTTTTAAAAAAAATGATAAAAAGACTAGCTACCACAAACCTATAGCACACAAGTACATAAATTATTAAATCCAAAGTGGGAAACTGCATGAAATTTTTCCTTAAAAGGACCTAATGCCCTTTCAAGAAATTTTCAATGACTTCTAGAATCATGAATTTTTAATGTAGGAGGTAAGACTTGATAAACACAGGCTAGCATGATTACCTGCTTTAGTGCCTTCTTGCTGTGCTTCTGTGATGGAGAAATGACTTTACCTGCTGGAATGGTAGGTGATGGGCAGCCTGACTGGGGAGAAGATGGCTGTGACAGTCTAGACGATACTAGTGGGGAGAAAAATGACAATAAATAATGTGGTTATCAGAGTTGACATCAAGCACCATTCCTTCCCCAATCATATGCTGCTACCTGTATTAAGAACTGTGACCAAACACTTTTGGGAAGGATCTTCTTTTTGGAGTTCTACTGCAAACAGCCTCCCTTTTCAGTTTATTTCCTCAGAAAGCTCTAGTGAAGGATGATAGGATGGGGAAGGGATGGGAGTTAGTATTCATTACTTTTCATTCTTTGATTTTTCAATAGACTGACTGAAACAGGAAGCAGAATATAAACCATGAGTCATCAAATTAGGTAAAACTTAGAGAAGATTCTAGAGCCTGTTGGATAGCAGGTATGTTAAGGTAAATCTAATGACAACATGATATCGTGAAAGAGCCCTGGGCTGACAGACTGGGTCCCAGTTTTCCCTATCTTTAAAATGAAGGCAATAAGGCCACTCCACCTCAAAAACTCTACTATAGCTTTAATTCTTAGTATTACTTCATCTCTTAAATCAACAGTTTCAGGCCTACCAGTGTGAGAGGATGCTTTAGGATTTCTCTCATGGAAGCAATGTCCATTTGCACAGGGTGAAATTTCTCTCTACTTCATCACTGCTTGTTTTATACCTCATCAGAGCTTGGCCAAACCTTAGTCTTATATGAATAACGGTTTTCCCTTCAGGAGCCTATTATACTAAAATAGCAATTAGATTTTTATATTCTGTAAAGTTCAGCAGTGCATTACTCATGATAAGAGATAACAAAGAAAATGCTGATTCAGACCCCTTAATAACAGAAATTAATAAAATAGCAATCGCTACTGCTAGTGATGACTCTGGAAGAGTACATGCTTACTAACACCTTCTCCTTCCATAGTAATTGGACTAAAAAGGCCCAGATAGCAAAATGGGATTTCATGGTATGGCTAAAAGCTTGAAGATACCATATAAAGTATGTCGGTGGGTAGCTACCTGACATAAAAATGCAGAAGCATGGTTCACTGGAATATACAAGTTTGGGAAAACAGCTTTTCAACATATTTTTATAAATCCTAAGAAAGGAATACACAGTAGATAACATTTAAAGAGGACAATACTAAGAAGGTGACTTTCCATACTTGGCATACCTGACTTTGCACTCCCATCCTTATGATAAGGTTTATATATGGGAAAGAATTGACATAAAATGCGACATTAAGAAAAAATTCACTGTGATATATCATACAAAAATAAAGTTCTTGAGATAATTGAGCAGCGAAAAGAAACCACATCCTCAGTCTACTTACGTTGACCAATTTTAAAAAACAACAGCTTTACTGAGATAAGATTTATATAACACACAATTCACCTAAAGTGTAAAAATTCAATGGCTTTGGTTAAAAGTTGTGCAACCATCACCAGAATCTATTTTCACCACCCACAAAAAGCCCTGCACTGGTTGGCTATCACCCCTCTTTCCCTAACTATGCCCCTAGTGCTATGCAATCACTAATCTACTTTCTGTCCTTATGCATTTGCCTATTCTAGACCTTTCATATAAATAGAATCATTAATACGTGCTCTTTTGTGACTGGCTTTTTTCACTGAGCATGTTTTGAAGTTTGATCCATACTGAAGCATGTATCAATACTTCCTTTTTATCATCGAATAATAGACCATTGTATGCATATGCTGCATTTTGTTTATTCATTAGCTGATGGACATTTGGGTTGTTTCCCCTTCTGGCCACTCTGAACACTCATTAGCACGATTTTGTGTTGGACATATATTTTCAATTCTTCTGTGTTCAGATCTTAAAGTAGAATTGCTGGGTCTTATATCAACTCTATGTTTAACTTTTTGAGGAACTGTCAAAATGTTTTCCAAGATGGCTATACTATTTTCACAATTCTACAGGAATGTATGAGGGTTCTAATCCTTCTCAACACTTGTTATTGCCTATCTTTTTGATTTGACCAATGTTTCTAAAGGGACATAATAAAAATAAAGACTATTAATATTTGACTATGTTCATTCTTTTTAATGGTTTGCAGAAATCTGAAAATATACATTTCCTTACCCACCTCAAATACTGCCTGAGAATAAACAGAAAACAAACAAAATAATTCCATTAGTGTATATAAGAATTCCACTTTGCAGCCTGAAAAAGAGACAATAAAGCTATCTGTAGTTACCACGGCAAACTATTTGGACTGTTCCCCCTTAAGGCAAAAGCCCTTTCTAACAAATGAACCATAGACATTATCTCAAACCAGCTGAAGTAAATCATGAAAATTTCAGGACCCACCAGTAAGGAACATCTCCCAGAATTGACTTAATGCCAAGTACAGGTCTCAACTTCTAGGAAAGTTAAACTTCGTCCTAACTTTTAAATATTAAAGGCTTAAGCACATGCTGGGAAACTTCTCTCTCGTAATTACTTTTAGTGGCTACACTGTCAGGCACAATTTTATTAATAAGAGCAACCAAAAGTAACTACCTTGTATGCCTCTAACAGCATGCTAGGTTCATCTCAACAGAATTTCACTGACCTACCCTCTAAGGTGGGTACAAGTCCTTTCTATTCCCACCCAAACTCTTGCAATTCTACCCTGAGAAGTAACTAAATAATATATTTGGATTAGCATCCTTACTGACATTTTTCTACACAAATAAAAATATGAAAAGATTTTTAAGGACATATATCTATTTTTTAAAAGGTTTTATTTATTTATTTGAGGCAGAGAGAGAAAGAGAGAAGCACAAGCGGGGGCGGGTACCAAGGGGAGAGGGAGAAGCGGACTCCCCACTGAGCAGGAAGACTGACACTGGGCTCAATCCAAGGACATATATTTATACATAAATTTCAAATATACACATTCTTTGTATATTATAATATCATCTAAATTTTGCATATCAGGAAATTTAATTAGCTTACCAGAGGACTCAGACATTAAGGGGCACAACCAAGATCCAAACTCAGTATATTTTCAAAATGAGTGGGTACTTGTTGTGGGCTGAATGGTGGCCACCCAAAAGTTATGTCCTAATCCTCAGAATCTGTGCATGTTACGTTATTTGGAAAAAGAGTCTTGGCAGATGTAATTAAGTTAAGGATCTTGAGATGAGATCATCCTGGATTATCTCAAGTGTCCTAAATCCAATGACACAGAGGACAGACAGAAAAGAAGGTGATGTGAAGACAGGCAGAGATTATAGTGATGCGGCCACAAGGCAAGTAAGTCAGCAACCACCAGAAGCTAAAAAATACAAGAAACAGAGTTCTCCCCTAGAGCCTCCATAGGGAGTATGGCCCTGCTGACACCCTGATTTCAGACTTCTGGCCTCCAGAACATGAGAAAATAAATTTTATTGTCTTTTTTTTTTTAA